CACATTTTGACAAAAATAAAAATTTTGACTAGTCTTTATTTTTTCGGAGGTCCTCCTTGGGAGTCAACTATGGGATCAAGGATATGCAAAAAGTGTCAAAATGGATGGATATTGTTCATGTAGAGTCCTACTTCTAAAAAAAAATTATCTCTTCTTTTTTACCTACTTGACATCCCTGCCATCAAATTCAAATACGTTTAAGTAGCTGATTTATTTTCATACTTATTTCTGCGACTCATTTCGCTGTGCCCTCAGCAAACTCGTTTGTTGTAGTTCGCAATGAATCTGCTGGCGGCACTCAGCGTCCAACAGTGCACCACTTTGGCACTTAATTATACGATGCCCCTGTCACTGAGTAATGTGTCGTTGACACAGCGGTGGGTACTGTTCGTGTAATAAATGCAATGTGCGAGTGATACATCCACACATACTTTATATAAGTAACTCCACTCCGCTGCCATACCCACTTAAGCAACTTTTTTTGTTTTGATAACACTTTCATTGACATTTTCTCTGATTGCGTAGAGTACATCGGTACTCATTTCACGCTCTCCAAATTATTGTGTACTCTTTTTTTCAACAGATAATGGATTGCTTTCTGGTGAATAAACTCTACAAACCCCTAGATTTTTTTATCTCCTTGTAGTATTTATTTATATCTAGGCTAATAAGTTCAATGCAAATAAATATAATATTAAATCATTATGCCGGTTAATTATACCGGTCAATAATATGATAAGAGAACTGTTTACCATTAATTCGAACAAAAATTTCTTCTCTAAAATTCTTATCATTTGATGACTAACCAAATTCTAAATAATTATCATACTGATATTGTGAAGCGATAATTATACGAACAAGGTAAAACTTGTTTTCTCCTTCTTAATTGGCGTAGACACAGCTTACGCGATTATAGCCGAGTTAACAACAGCGCGCCAGTCGTTTTTTCTTTTCGCTACGTGGCGCCAATTAGATATTCCAAGTGAAGCCAGGTCCTTCTCCACTTGGTCCTTCCAACGGAGTGGAGGTCTTCCTCTTCCTCTGCTTCCCTCGGCGGGTACTGCGTCGAATACTTTTAGAGCTGGAATGTTTTCGTCCAGTAGGACAACATGACCTAGCCAGCGTAGCCGCTGTCTTTTAATTCGCTGAACTATGTCAATGTCGTCGTATATCTCGAACAGCTCATCGTTCCATCGAATGCGATATTCGCCATGGCCAACGCGTAAAGGACCATAAATCTTTCGCAGAACTTTTCTCTCGAAAACTCGCAACGTCGACTGATCAGTTGTTGTCATCAGCCAAGCCTCTACACCAGATAGCAGGACGGGAATTATGAGTGACTTATAGAGTTTGGCTTTTGTTCGTCGAGAGAGGACTTTACTTTTCAATTGCCTACTTAGTCCGAATAAGCACCTGTTGGCAAGAGTTATCCTGCGTTGGATTTCCAGGCTGACCTTTTATTTTCTATAAATAATCAGTATTTCCTCACACATACATATGTACAAATTTAATCTTTCAAGACCTATGGAAAAGTCTGGAGCGATATCAATATCATCAGCATACGAGAGATGGGCGCCATTCTTATAGAAGATTGTACCTTCTCTATTCAGATCTGCAGGTCGAATTATTTTCTCGAGGAGACGTCTTATCTGAAACCTAGTTTGGTATCGAACGGCTTGGAAAGGTCTTTTCCGTGCCTGACGGAGCTTTTTGTATTGCTCAAGGTCAGTTTACACAGCCGTATTAGCGGGGATACCAAATTCAGACATAGCGGCATAAAAACAGCTCCTTTTGTGCTGCTTTGAAATCGACGAAGAGTCAGTTGCGGATTTTCCAGGCTTGAAGCCACACTTAAGGTCCAATCAGTTTGTTGACGGTGAGCTTTAATCTTTCATACTGTACGCTTGATAAGACCTTATATGGGATGGTGAGGAGGTTTATAGGATTGTGGGGTCTCTCTTGTGGATTGTGCAGAGCATACTTGAATTCCAATCGTCGAGCATGCTTTCGTCCGAGCATATTCTACAAAGAAGCTGATGCATGCTTCCTACAAGTTTTTTGCAGCCATAGTTGAATAGCTCGGCCAACAATCCATCGATGTAAAATTTTCTTGTTGCTCAAGCGACAAAAACATGCCTAAAGTAATTTTGGAGCATGGTGCCCAGTTGGGCTGGATAAAAATCCGGGTCCATTCCGGTTGCTTAGATCCAACTGGTGTAGGAGCGACTGAATGGATAAATCGAGTCCGACTATCATCTAAGTACGATTGTGCAGGAGCTAAACATTGCACAAAAAATCGTTTGGAACAATTTAAATAAGACTGGTTACCAAAATAAGCTTGTTGAATATGTTAACACAAAAAGACTCCAAGGGCCACCAACCACCCGGCTAGAGGACGAGTAGAATAGTGATTTGACTTTCATATTTTGATCGATGGCGTTAAAACTCCGATTGCCGACACCCCTAAGATTTTACGTATGACACGTGAAATCCTGTGCTCCTTCACTCCTCACACGACTGTGACTATTGCCAAAGTACAGAGACGTTACAGAATCCTCAAGACGCTAGCCGGCAGCACATGGAGAAACACACAAAGAAACGTTGTTGGCAACATATTATATTAGGCAATTACCGACTCCCTCGCAGTGAATGGCGTACTTGGAGTCAAAGCACCACCGATGACAGACGACGAGCTCGAGTCCCTCTTATCTAGAATGGACCCGACATATCAAATACATTTATGTCCAGCATTGAACGTATACCCGCAAGACTTTCTTGGCTTGACCAGCTAACCCTACATATCTGTCATCTCTCTCCCTGTGTCCGACTCAGTCGAAACAGCATGTTTCCTGGGCCTACTTTTGATTAACTGCTTCTTCTTATTTGAGCAGATAATAACTTGAAGCAATAGAGCAATATAATTGTATGTCCTGCAATAAAATAATATAAGCAATTACTCACTAACTCTGTGCTTCGACATTTATAAAAGCAAAATGACAGAAAATTAGTTATTATTACGTTCTTCATGAGAGAAGTAAATATAGCTAGACTAGACTTAAGTATTACGACTAATAACTGTGATTTATTTATATAACATACTTTGTCAATAGACAAGTATCAAGTCATTTACAATACAGGGTGTGTGAACATTTAACTAACTAAAAAATTTTTATTGTTAATTACTAATAACAGTAAAGTGATTTAGTCTAGAGTATTCTACCACTAGAACTACCGATGTTAAATACACACCTAGTCAAATTGACGGATTTTTGATTATGGCTCTCATAGTAGCTTTTGAGTTAGTTTAAGTAAATAAAAGAATACAATTTAGCATTAACAGCATTTAATATAATAATTCATTACTTATTTATAAAACAAAAAAAAAAAAACAGTTTCTATTTGAACGAGGCACATATTTTGCATGTACATGTTATATTAGTTGAACACTTGCCACAAACATATTTGTTGCATGCACGCTCTGTTTTTAGTGCACAAACGAAATTGGCAAGATTTGCGTTCATAGGAACTTTTTTTTTTGAGTTTTCTGGAGTCCAATCCATTGGCTGTTTTTTACGATGTCATGAACGTACATATATGTATATAATTACTGTTCTTATATATGTATAATAATTAACTGTTCTTATATTTTATTAAAATGGAACAATTGTATAAATAATAATCAAATTTTTAAGCATGCAATTTGAAAGCCGTCAAAAGGACGGTCTTGGTAGTTGAAGTGTTAACATACTAAAAACTGATATGACAACTTAGCTTCATTCTATAAAATATTAAAACTTTATTTTTTTCCTCAACCAAACTGTTTTGCAGTCTTCACGCGTTATTAGAACTGTCTTCAAATTTTTCTAGTTTTTTTTTTCTCCTTTTTTAACGCGATGACGTTGATAAAGTTGAGATAATTTGCGTACAAAGTTTCTTATCTGCGCCTTAATTAAATGTCTCTAAGTGCTTATTATCTGTATAAACATTTAATATTTATTTAACGACTTTTAAACCGAGTAAACTTCTCACAGTCAAGCAGAGGTTCATTTGTGCATACATACATATGTCTTCTAGAGAAAACACATTTTTAGCAGCGCATTGAGAAAGAAATTGTAAAAATTATACAAGTACCATCTGATCGAAATCTATTACACGTTTTTTGCACCAGATTGGTACAATCTTTGTTTATGTTCGAGTGAAGTTTGATCGCCATTTGTCAATGAGTGTGTGTTTGGCAGCTGTTTGTTTACGTCGCGAAATATTTGTCTGGCAACTTTTAACATGATACCAATAAAAAATTGAACAACGAGTGTGCTTGAGTAAAAAACAAAGTCTTTTTGTCAGACCGTTCAAATTTAATCAGTCAGAGACATTAATATTCGCTTTTAGTTTTTTTTTTTTACCCAATGCCCCTACATTTTTAAATATGAGTACTAAATGTGTTAATTATTTTTCGAAAACTAAAAAATGATGAACATACTTCTTTGGCTTTTTTTTTTTGGGTAGAAACGTACGCGTCATTATTATTCGGTTTTTCCCGCGCTTGGAGTTCCCTTGTGTAAAAAGTCAGCGAAAAGTGACTATCGGAGGATATTTGTTTAAGGCATTATAAATAAAAATTATCACTGCACTAGAAATGCTTCGAATAGTTTGATTTCAGACAGCAAAGTCCAATAAGACGCAAGGGAAAAAACTCTACTTTGAAGCTAATTCAGTTGGTGATTTTCATCACAGACTGGAGAAACTTATAAAAAGCAGAAATGCCAATAGGAAAGTGGGAGAGGATGGCCGATGAGAGCAATTAACATTTATATGTATGAATTATCCTAAATAATAAAACAAACAAAACTAAAATATATTTGCTTTTAATAGTTTGAGTTGAGGAGTATGAGAAAACCGACTATGAATGACTCTGACTGTATTTAATATATTATAAATATTTTATATAATATATAATGTGTAAAAGCCATTTAATTAATTTTTTATATTTTTTATTGCAGAACTGTCAACGATGTCAAGCTCATGAACACACAAACAACGGTTTGCAACGTTTTACGTAGAAATCAAAACAAATTATTGTCCAAACATTTCAGCGCACACAACGTACCGGCATCTCGGCGAGACCATTAAAACAAACACAACCATGAAATTCTAGCAAAAAATTAATTTGAAAAGTGCACAAAATTGATTTGTGCATTGCGATCAAATAGCAATCAAAATCACAGAAAAAATCAACAAATGTAAAATTATAATATTTCGATAAAACAAAAACACCGAATGTGTCAGCTCTAGCGATAAGAGACATTTGTAAGGCGAAGATTCAACGTAGCCTGGGCTAGAGTTTGCACACGCAGCGCGAATGTGACGTGATTTCTTCGTTTGGACAGCAAACAAAAATTATCATCAGGCACAAATCTAAATAAATCTGAGAGACGACATTTTTTGTTTAAGAAAAAGGAACATACAAATTAAATATAACTGAAAAAGTCAACAGCACTAACGCACGTAAGCCTATTAAGCACGTAACGATCGCACCAAAACCAAAATTAGCAACTAAGAGTAAAAGTAAACAAAAATCGAACTCAAAAATATATATAAATATAAAAATACAACGCCAGAATATCTTAACTGCAAGCACTTGAAACTTAAGCGAAATTAACTTAAATCTCTAACTCAATTTACAAGCAAACAAACTTATAAATAAGTAAGCCACACAGAGCAAGTGAACAAACTGCAAACAAGCATTTCTGCGCACAACAAAGTGCGCGCCTTCATACACACAAACTCACACACACACACACATCCGTCTCAGAAAAGCCGCAATAATATAAAAGAAAAAATTAAAAAAAAATATTTATTAGTAAATATTTGAACAAACTCGTAGCGCATCCGCAACAACAATAACAACCACTGTAGCAGTAATAACAATAGCAAGAACAGCAACAGCGCAGCAGCAACATTATGAACTCGAGCACAAAGCACCTGTTGCACTGCACACTCCTTATCACTGTGATAATAACATTTGAAGTATTCTCCGGTGGTATTAAAATCGATGAGAACTCATTTACACTTGTCGATCCATGGACTGAGTACGGCCAAGTAGCCACTATACTATTGTACTTACTACGTTTTCTAACTTTCCTAACGCTGCCGCAAGTCTTATTCAATTTTTGCGGTCTCGTCTTCTACAATGCCTTCCCCGAGAAGGTGGTGCTAAAGGGCAGCCCCATATTGGCGCCATTCATATGCATACGTGTGGTGACACGCGGCGATTTCGCCGATTTGGTCAAAACGAATGTGTTGCGTAACATGAATACCTGCCTGGATACGGGTCTGGAGAATTTCCTAATCGAGGTGGTCACCGATAAGCCCGTCAATTTGGCACAACATCGTCGCATACGTGAAATAGTAGTGCCAAAGGAGTACAAAACACGCACGGGCGCGTTGTTTAAGTCACGTGCTTTGCAATATTGTCTGGAGAATGATGTGAACGTGTTGAACGACAGCGATTGGGTTGTGCATTTGGATGAGGAGACTTTGTTAACGGAAAATTCGGTGCGTGGCATTATCAATTTCGTTTTAGATGGCAAACATCCATTCGGTCAGGGTCTCATTACCTATGCCAATGAGAATGTGGTCAATTGGTTGACCACGTTGGCGGATAGCTTCCGCGTCTCGGACGATATGGGCAAGTTACGCCTGCAATTCAAATTGTTTCACAAGCCATTGTTCAGCTGGAAGGGTAGCTATGTTGTTACGCAGGTGAGTTCAATTATTATATAAGTATGTTATAAGTGCTAGTAAAAAATATATAATTTTTTGCAATAAACCGGCAATTCATACAAGAAGTTATCGCCATGTAATTTTGGAGCTTACAATTGCCCGTGTAGAAGGCGATAAGTAGCCTGAATTTGTTGCGGATGCTCCGGAGCGGGCAAGCTCATCAGCCAGTTCATTGCTGGCTATGTCTTTGTTGCCTGGCAGCCAAACACTGAGCACTTGGTTACAATCTGATAGACTGTTCAGTCGTTCTTTACAGCCCTGCACCAATAGCGCTTTGATCTCGTACGCAGAGATCGCTTTGAGTGCCGCTTGACTATCAGTTAGTATAACTATGCGTTCATTGCGATAGTGGCGTTTGAGGTTTATCTCTACCCACCGACTTATAGCAAAGACCTCTGCTTGGAATATGCTCGAAAAACTACCCATATATATAATGAGTTTGGTGCGGGGTCCTGCGACCCCTCCAACATTTTCGAGTCGTCGGTGTACCAGTTGATTGTAGTTGCTTGAGAGCGGAATCGCTCTTGCCAACGTGAGATACAGCAGGACTTCAAGGCCCCCGTCAGACATGCGCACATGGCACCCGACACGCAGACGCAAGTCGTTGCAGCTTCGATAATTTAAATCCGACCGAAGTCTGCGATGCTTTTGAGGCCCAGGCCGCCGCTTCATATGCGATACTTGGTCGCATGATCATAGTACGCAACTACTTGACAATCCTTGGCTTGCAGTCCCAGAATCTACCAGCTAGCCGATTGCACACAGTTCGTCCATAACACGGGGGGAAAGCACTGCTCCTTGTGGGCAGCCTTTTGTAGTGCCGAGACGAGCACGAGCATTTATTAAACTCACTATAAATATCGTCATAATTAACAGCCTCAGATGTTTTATTCCGTTCCCATGACAATCGGGTCTAAGTAACGAACGGATTTTTATTCAGCCAACGACTGTCAACTCGAATCCATTCCTCGGAATTGCTTCAGGAATGTATTATGTCGTTACAACAACAACATTAATTATTTAATTTAGTATCAGAAAAAAATAATGGAATTTATTTATTTTAATTTTTATTGCCGGTTCATATAACAAATGGACAGACTTTATTGTTTATAAATGTCATACCTGTCTCTTATACACATCTAGATGTGTATAAGAGACAGGTATTATGTCGTTACAACAACAACATTAATTATTTAATTTAGTATCAGAAAAAAATAATGGAATTTATTTATTTTAATTTTTATTGCCGGTTCATATAACAAATGGACAGACTTTATTGTTTATAAATGTCATACACTTCAAGTACTTTTCTCAAGTGTTTCGTAAATAATTAAAGCTGACTAAGTCTGACCTTGGTTCATGTAGTTTAAAAGAGAACAACAAATAATAATAACGGATTTTTACGTAAGGATTTTGTAATTGATAAAATAGTAGTGGCTTTATATAAAAATGCGATGCATTAATGAAAACTCCATTTAAACAATAGAATTTTCACAAATATTTACCAAAAACAATGCCATTCTTTAATATTATTACACCATTTGCTAATAACTTGTGTTTTTCTCACTCCATCCATAGGTTGGCGCCGAACGACAAGTGTCCTTCGACAACGGCATCGACGGCTCCGTGGCCGAGGATTGTTTCTTTGCAATGCGCGCCTTTTCCCAAGGCTACAGCTTCAACTTCATCGAAGGTGAAATGTACGAGAAGTCACCATTCACACTGCTCGATTTCCTGCAACAACGCAAACGCTGGCTCCAAGGCATACTACTGGTGGTACATTCGAAAATTATACCGTTAAAGCATAAACTCTTGCTCGGCATCAGCGTCTACTCCTGGGTCACTATGCCCTTGTCCACATCGAATATCATTTTTGCCGGCCTCTATCCAATACCATGCCCGAATTTAGTCGACTTCATTTGTGCTTTCATTGCCGCCGTCAACATTTATATGTACGTCTTCGGTGTGATAAAGTCGTTTTCACTGTATCGTTTTGGCTTGATGAAATTTATGGCCTGTGTGCTGGGCGCCGTTTGCACCATACCCGTGAATGTGATTATTGAAAATATAGCTGTCATTTGGGGTCTATTCGGCAAGAAGCATAAATTCTATGTGGTACAAAAGGATGTGCGCGCAATGGAAACTGTGTGAGCGGCTGGTCACATACGTATATGTTTGTGGAAAAATTTTTTGGCTCCGGCTGTAACAGCAGCCATGTAAGCATTATGGTGAGTTTGCATATATATATGTATATGTACGTATTTCAATTGTAGATATGTATGTATACCCAGAACAGGGTAAATTAAGTTTGGCGCTAAGTTTGTATCACCCTGAAGGCGAGCTGAGCCGCTTCAGTCATGTCCGTATGTCTGTATTGCATGTGGGCAAACTAGTATTTCAGTGTTTGATATCGACATAAAACATTTCTTAAGCAATTTCGTGGAATGGATTTAACAGTCTCTTGATGAATAAAAATCCGCATCCGTTACGGTTACTTAGACCCGACTGTCGTGGGAACTCAGTCACACACCGGCGTTTCTCGAAACCGCCGAATTAATTGTAATTGTATGGGTGTGACTTCACCATACAAGCCTCATTGCTATAACATTCCTTAATTTGTGTAGAATTTAATGTACATATTTCTGTTTTTTATTTTTTTATTTACAGAATGTGCTCTACAGGGCTTACACCCTGAAACTCAACTACCAAAAACCCAGCAAAAACAAATAAACAAACGATTACAAGCAACTTTTGTGGTGCGATACTCACTAAGCTTATGCGACCTTTGTCACCGCCATTGCCGCCAACGCCCAATTAGCCAATGCCATCGCCTGGACATCGTCGATATTTGTTCTTGCTGCTACCGCAAAACTATCTACCGTGCACAATTCACATTTTGTTATAACCTAAATTAATACTTAAACAAATGAGAAATCACGCACATACACATACGCACCTCCATACACGTACACCGCCAGGTCGCACACCAACACAACGCCACACCAAGCACACAACATGCAAAACAGCACAAATCCATTTACACGATTAGTTCACTAACACACATGTAGCATAAATGTCATTATAGTTTACTATATGTATATTTTACAACAGTAATTAGATCTAGATTTGTTTAATATTATTATTGTCATTATTGTATATTATAGAAAACGGTTATTACGCAGTTGTATGACTAATAATGATTGTTGATTCCGTTGATGATTAGAGAAATAATATTTTGTTGAACAATTCATTCAAGCGCTAAGTATTTAAATATTACCTATGTATATGTATACAACAACAAATTTAAACAACATAAGGAAACTTGCAACAAATATTTGTAAAATTACGAAAATCACTCATGTATAAATAGAAAAAAATAAACTATTTAATTAGAACTAGGAGCATCTGCACTAACTGTAGTCTAACGTAAAATAATGGTGCCGTCAGACAGCAAAACACGTGTGGCAACACCGTTAACGCGCATAGGACACATAAACCGTTATAATGTTGCATGCGTCTGACTTAAGATACAACCATATCGCGCACATTTCCTTACATTCGTAAATCTATTTAATTTTGTAGCATACAATACGAAAAAAAGGTTAGTTTCTCTCCTCATGTGATTTCAGTAATTAGTTTTTGCAAAGTAAATAGAAACCTAACTTATTTATTAAGTTGAAAGTTCACGAAATATATGTATGTATATGTAAAAGAAATTTATTTGTAAGCTAAAAGCGTAATTCGCAGATTTGTTGCAAGTGTTGAAATTAAATAAAATAAATTAAATTAGCATTGCAAACAGCATACACAATGAAAGCTTTACCAAGTTAAATTATTAATTATGTACATATTATTTTCTATATATATTGATTTTCTTTTTTACATTTATATATGTATATACAACATTTTTTATTTAATTTTATTTTATTTCGTTTTTGTTTATAATTTATATCATTGTCGCATTAGCTGTAAGCGTGAAAATAATATGAAGCAAATACTTGAATTGTTAACACACATACAATACAAAAACGTAAACGAAATAAAACAACAACAAAGTATTACCATAAATTGGTCTCTTTTTATTTTTATTTTCCACATTTCATTCATTGGTGGCATGTACATACAATGTATGTATGTATGTCAATTCAAATTCTTGCAAAATGCACCCAACGCAGCAACTGTGCGCTGAGGAATATCGTTTTTATTGTCGCTAAAAGCTTTTAATAAATATGGCTTCGCTATATACTGAAACTATGCTACTTCTTTCCTAATATAAAAAAGTAATAAATAAAAATAAATAAGATGTAGAAATTAACAAAAAGTTGACTGCTCCAGGTGAGGCTCGAACTCACAACCCCGGCATTGCTCACTAGTTACTGATTATAAGTACCGTGCGCTAACCAATTGCGCCACTGGAGCTATATTCACTCATTGACAAAATACCTACCTAAGCAACGGCTGAATACTCTGTCGCTATTGCTGCTTTCATAAGTAAACAAACTTTCAGGGTTGTATTGCCAACCAAATGAAAACAATTTGTTTCCCTGTTGGAAGCAGATAATTTATTACATATAAAAATAATACAAATTTAAAATATTATAATATTAATTACATAATTATATTAAGAGCTACAGTATCTTAGAAGCATAAAATAGTATTTATTAAAATATTTAATAATTCGGCGTTTTTTCTTAAGACAACTTCGAAATATTGAAACGAGCAAATTCCTGTCTGTGCAATATATTTTTACACATTAAATATAACAATATTTTTTATTATAACTATTTTTCAATAATGCAAAGCAATGTTTTACAATTCAATATTTTCGCTATTTATTTAAGAATTAGTGTATGTCAATGCTTACACAACGGGCTAAATAAAATAAACGTTTTAAACTGCAACCGTAAAATTGTGTTTTTATATAGGTACACAAATGAGAAATGTAACGGGGCGAGGAATATTTACTTAAACTTTGTTAAATTTTTTTTTTATTAAATTATATGTTTTATTAAGTAAATATTTTTCTGTTGTAGAATTCAGTTCCTCCACGAGAGGGTTTTGTTGAACAACCCTAAGCAGCGCATTCCAAATGCAACTCTGTCATTATTTAGCAAACAGCTGGCAAAAAGAATAATTAAATGTAAATAAAAGCAGTGCAAAAAATTTAATGGTGAATTTTTGTAGAAAATAATGAGCTGGTTTGAAGCGAAGGGTTTAAATTGGGCGAAAAGTGCACTCAAAGAAGCCGTGGCGTCCATAGACAAAGCGCTCGATATACAAGACGACAATGTGGGTGGTGAAAAAATTTCCCAAGTACAAACGGTTTTGCCTACGTCGTTAGCAGGTGGATCGGTGCGAAAGCAAAAGTTACCAGGCGGAGCAAATCGCGAAAGAAGCGACAGTCAAAATGTAGTTGCCACACCAAACAGTGCAATAAAGAGTACCACGGTTTCAGCACCTACCACACCGACAGCGCCATTGGTCTCCTCTACTTGGGGTTCTTTCACAGGTTCTTTCTTTGAAAATCCAAATGCGCAAGAAACTATTACAGCGCCACCGCGTACTAAAGCAGGTAGCGTGGGTATGTTGCCAGCCGCTGCTGTAATGAATGATACAACTTCTATGACGGATCTGGCAGGTAGTAATAACCCGTCCACACAGCGAGCATCAATTACTTCAACAACTACGTCAGATTCGGTAGAATTGCTTTCACCGCCTGTATCGAGTAGCTCCGACTTGCAATCACCAGTTTCTGAACCAAAAAGTAGTGCAAGTAATGAAGCGTCATCATCTGTGGAAACTATTAGTGGTACAGCAACGTTGGAAAATGAGGCGATTAATAAAGAATTGTGTATTTCGGTAAGTGGCTCACTGCCAGACAGCATTGTAATTATCTCCGAAAAGGATGAATACGACATTGAGGAAGATTCAATTTCATATAAAACAGTTGTGGGCGATCTACAAGACACTGCAGAAACCACAGGTACATTTTTAAGTTGATATTATGCCATTAGCTACAGTTTTCTTACTCAAATTCCAGAAAGTCACATTGTCCCCACTACAACACATTACCCAAACACAATTGAGCAAGGAGTATCTGCAAGCAGCTGCTCACCGAGCCAAAAGATGATCATCTCCTTAGAAGACACACGCAGCGAGTCACATCATGCTGATTCGGATTCTACGCAAAGTTTCGAGGATGTGCAAATGCAGGCGAGTTGTGCCGTTAGTCCATACTTTGAAAAGGCGCAAGCAGTTTCACCAGCATCGGACGACCAGAATGATGTAATGAATTCCAAAACCAATTCATCGCCACACAATTCTAACGATGAAATGGAAACAACAACATCCTCAGATATAGAAATTATATCTAACCCCAATGGTAATGGTGATTCCTCCAGTACAAATAGCATGACGCGGATCAGTCCATTAAAGTGGAAAAAACTTATGAGTAGCCAGGGTGTAGGGCAATCAACCAGCATGACATGCTCGAAAAAAGGACACTTTCGTGGTCCTTCCGAAATATCGATACTTTCCGAAGACTCACAGTCTGAGTTGGATCGGCTTATGCAACGCATAAGTGAACTGAGTGATACTTTAGAGGCGCGTGAATTGCGACTACTACAATTGGAGCGTCAAAATTTAGAGTTGCAGGAACGCAACGCCGAAATGGAAAGCACGCTGGAGACTTTCAAAACCAGTGGCAGCACCGACACCACAGAAGGCTACACACAACGACTGTCAGCCTTGGAAAAGAAATTTCAAGCCAGCATACGCGAAAGGGATGCCTTGCGCATACAAATCAAGGACCTGAAAGATGAGCTACAGTTGAAAATACCCAGAGAGCGTTTGACCGAGAGCAACATAATGATTGAGGAATTGCGTTCGGAAGGTATTTGCTACATAACATAGCTTACAAGTGGATATTTATAACAAATTTGTGTGCGTTTTTAGGTGAAAAATTGTCGAAGGAGATTCTGCAGCAATCCAATATCATCAAAAAGTTGCGTGCTAAGGAAAAAACTAGCGACGTCACGCTGAAAAAGAATAAAGAGGAAATCGCCAGCTTAAGTGATGAGCTGGAGAGGATGAAAAGGACATTGAACGCCAAGGAAGAGGTGGAGCGGTCACAAATCGAGGCTGTGCACAAAATGTCATCCGAAAAAAGAAGACTGGAGGATGAAAACTCGCAGCAACGAAGTAAACTGGAAGACTTGCAGTCGAAGTTGTCCACGTTGCAGGCGAGTTTCGAGGCGGCCAAGTTGGAACTACAACAACGTACACGCCAACATACCGATCTCACGCGCACCGCCGAAGAAGCGATCGCGGCAAAGAAGGAACGTGAGTCACTAAAAGCAGAAAACCTGGAAATCCGGAATCAGTTGAGTGAACTGCGTGAAAAACTACGTGGCACCGAGCAGACAACAACAAAGCGGGAACAACAGTTACGCGAGGAGAACAGAGAACTGATGCGTAGATTAGAAGCGACTGAAATGCGCGCGGAAGCTGCCGCACAGGAGGCCAGCCTGACTACGGTGCCGCTAATGCGACAACTGGAATCACTACAGAATACGCTCACACAGCGCACCGCCAATTGGAATCAGGAAGAAAAGTTGCTCTTGGATAAATTAGGTAGGCAGAGTAGTATTTTAACTAGAAACTGGAACTTTTGAACTCGAACTGTTTATTTTTACGTTTTCTTTGTGTAGCTGCTGCGCAGAGTAAGTTGAAATCATTGGAAAATGTAGAGTTCAAATATGAGGAACGTGTCGAATTGCTGCAAAAACAATGCACAGAACTAGAAGACACGCTTTCGCACGCGTTGCTGCAGGAGGAAAAGGCCAAAATGGGCTTGCAACAGGCGCAGCTTGAGTACAGCATGAAAGAGAGCAGCCTGAAAAGGTAAATATTTGCGTTAGCACACTAACAATTCATATTATCGCAACGGTGTGTACGATTTTTTAGCCAACAAGCGGAACTTACCAAACAAATTGAACAGTGCACGTCCAAAGTGGAAGCGTTGGAGCGTGAGAATAAAGTATTAGAAGATAAATTGCGTGCGAAGGCCGAGGAAAAATTACCAAGCTTCGTTGGCGTTGGTGAACTGCCACAAATAGGCCCGGAGGCGAAGCGGATTGTGCCGCTTTCCGCAGCTACATTGGCACCGCATGAGCTGGCACGTCAGCACTCGCTGGAGCAGACGCAACGTTCACAGTCGCCGGCCATGAGTTTTGAGCGCAATTCGCAAGAGGAAACAATGGAGGGTGGCAGCATCGATTGGCAGGCGGTAAGTGCAAATGCTCTCCAATGGGAAACGATAAAAAACGCTATTTTATTGTAACGCTTTGCAGGAAGATATAGATTGCATTTCGAATTCGGGTCGTCAAATGGGCAACCTGGGCTACGGTATTAATATGAGCTTTCTGGGGCATAATACGTCAACGTTGGAGCACTTACAATCGATGTTGAAGCAGCGCGACGGTGAACTGGTGCACATTCAGTGGGAGTTGGCGCGTTTGCAGGAGGGGCGCAGCGTCTTGGCGGAGGAAATTGCAATGCTGACTACCGAATTGGAGGCTGTATGTAATCATGTACATAAAACGAAATATCACAATTAAACATTATTGTTTCTTCTTGTTTTTCCGAAGGCTAAGGAAAAGCTTCTCTCCTACGAAAAGCTGGATCAGAATTACGAGGAGCTCCAGCGCAACTATGACGCGCTACTGCAAATGTACGGTGAGAAAGTTGAACGCACCGAAGAATTAGAATTGGATCTGAAGGAGGCGCGCGAGGCATATAAGGCGCAGATCGATGAGCTGTTGGCCCAACCCTCACGGCCTACCACATGATATTTATAAAAGTGTCAATTTGGACTCTGTCATCGGCTGAGTCATATATTCACTCTATTTGTTATCTAAATCCACTGTAGTTTTTAATTGTAATTATGGTATTGTATGTAGTTATGTTATAATATTATAAATTTTAATCGAATTGTTGCTGGCTGGCATATTGGAGCTACAAAGTACAGAAAGGTATGATTTAATAAAGTAATTTAAACAAATTAAATAACAACTATTTTGCACGTTATTGCAATTTACTTCGCTGTTTATGTTGAAAATAAAATTTGAAATATGTAATACGTGTATAAAACAACAAAAAGTAAACTAACTAATATTAAGTATACACAATTTATATATTAAGCATAGTGAAAACAAGCAGCTTGTGCCTGGTGCAAACTAAACCACGTTAGTTGGTCGCGCAGTGGGTGGTTGTGTACTTGGTTTTGTCATAATATCGACGGCGTTTTTAAATAGTTGCGTTTTGACGAAATCCGTTGCCGCCGTGTTGAGATCCTTATTTGCACCGAAATTACACTTAACATAACCGAATAAATTAGCGCCGTTGAGTGCCAGTGCAATCATGACTAGCAAAAGCCATTTGAACTTTAAGCCAAAAAGTGCTACCACGAAGAATAGGCCCCAACAAGCGGGGAAGAGTATTAGACCCAGCCAGAATACGCGCGCTTCATTATTATTTACACGACCCTGTTTGGATTCGAACACCCAGTGTGATACACCTTCGTCATCGACGTAGTTCCACCAACGTAGTCCCACCAACAAACGACCAGTAATATTTTTTACAGTCCAAAAGTCGGCCGATAGAAATAGCACAACGAAAACGAAACTTGTTATGAAGGAGTCACTGAACCAGCCACAGAACATGTATACAACCACTGCGGCGCCGCGGAAGAACAGGTGGAAAAATGTCACGTAGGGATGCCTATAGAATATTAGGTCAGGTATAGTAGCGATCGTTTAATTACTATTCCATACATACGCATATCTTTTAGCGGCTGCACTCGGATCGCGCATTTCATCTTCCTCACCGAAAGGAATAGTGTCATCTTCCAGTAATGGCACCTACATATTTCAGCATGCAGAACATAATGATAGTGTTAATAGCATTGTATTTGTTTTGGAACAGGTTAGTTAGTCAAAACCAATCCTGTCGTTAGTGGGAAGGAAGCATGCAAACCTACATTTCTTACCGTAGCCGAAGCCATGTTTTATTACTCTATCGCTGTTTGCTGTCTTATTGGAATGTATTTGTTACGTTGTTTGCTAAAGCTTCTTATGGGTTGGCAGACTAATCAGTTTATTATTTACACTTCCGTGCTTACGTTTAATTCTTGGCTATGAACAGAAAATCTTTAATGAGCTGTCATCGTGATTATTCTTGTAAACAAGCGCCGAATGTCAGGCGAATTGTCATAAAAGTGATGAAAGCGAAAGAAAGAAAGCAGGTGTTTATAAAGGTTGTTGTTTCAGCTAAAATGTTTCAGCAACATCTGATTATATACACATGTACACTAGAAAAAAATTAAGGGAAAATCAGAAACAGAACTCAAATTATTTATTACACATATCTTACTGAATGATTTTATAATACTATACATATATAAATTTCATGAACTTGAGATATTAGGTTATGGAATTGGTGTTGAATATAAAAAATACCGATTTATACTAGCATTCAGCGGTTGCCGAATATGATGTTTGTAGTATTGTTTGTTGTTTGTAATTAACAACATCTGATTTTTAAATTTTAAATTAAAGCATGTGTGAAGCAATGCGCTAGCAACATGTTAATCATAAGCCATATGTTGCTACAGTAATGTAGTATTTAAACAGGGTTGCTTCGTGTAGTACTGTGTTAGTTTCTACATCATATCAAAATTAATTTTGCGCAGCTTATTATTTGAATAAGAATTATGCAGATATTTTACTTTTTAATGTGTTAAGTTTATAATCAAACATATTCTTTACGAATCAAATTTAATTTGCACCATTGAATCGTTTTCAGCATACAATCCACACAGCACAAATCTCCCAGCAGTATTCACGCATGCAGCAAATGCAACCCCGTCAAAAATAATGCGGTTGCGCATATGGTGCGCATATGGCAAAGTCGCTCACATTCTATTCTCACAGTGACAGTTTGCTTGTCATGTGCACCGGTTGATTTGATTGATTTGAAAAAGTGTGATTCGTGGTGTGCTAAGTAAAAAACAGTGTGATAATCGTGTAGCAATAAGCTGAGAACACTTTGAAATCACAACTGATAACGATCGCTGCAATTAAATTGTGTAAATAAATAAAGAAAATATTGTAACTCATTCATTTTGAAATTCGCCGACACACAGCAAGTTGAAATTTTGGGTGGAGTTTAGTCTAGAAAATAATTTTCAAAAAAGTGTGCCGAAAATAGCGGAGCGTGATATATAAATCGTATACATAAATATATTGAGAAATATAGAAAGTATAAAGCAACAACAAAGTATATAATATAAATTTGTGAAATTTTGCAACGTTGCTTAAAAAAATTAGCCGAACCTTAATTAATAGCCAGGATCGACGGCAAAAGAAAAAATATTGTGATAAGGCAAAAGAGTTGGCATTGTGAAGTCGTAAAGTGTTTGTAAATACAATTTTGAGTGTCTGAGTAATGAATTAGCAAAGTGTTTTGATAAAAATTATATACCAGTGCTCGGAGGTGACGAAAGACTGTTTGCTAGAATCTACAAATATTTTAATTCATAGTTTTCGGTTGTTGTAGCAATATGGACCTGTTGTGCACTGAAAATTTAAGGAATGATTATGACTGTGACGTATCGTATGTGCCAACGCAAATGCGAGCACATACTTATACCGAATCACAGCTACAGCCACACCTGCTACCGCAACCACCGCCACCAGCAACAGTAACTGAACAACCAACAAAGGAATGTCCATTAAAGGAGCCACAAACAAAAATAATGCCAGGAGCACCTTCACCTTATTCCAGTTCCAGCTCGTCTTTATTATCACCGGGTTCAAGTTCACCATCATCCGGTTACAATTCAGCTACAAGCAACAGTTCGCATGCAAACCAACCACAAATGCTTCATAATCGTCAATATCATCGGGAGGAAGATACGCAAAAGCACCATCAATATGAACAACAGCAAGAGACAAAGCAACACGAATATTACGATGCTGTATATCTGAAGTCGGTGCCTAGTCGTGATTTAGGTTTCGTCAATAACGCTACCGTGGATCCGATATTTTTAACCGATCGCTGCTTGGAGAATGCCCTAAAAGCAGAAGAAAAGCTACCACAACCGGTTTGCACATATTTTAAGACAGTGCAGAAAGACATCACACCGCCTATGCGCAAAATAGTTGCAGAATGGATGATGGAAGTAAGTTCTTATTAAATTTAGCATGCTAAAATTAATAATCTGAATATATGCTCAATTTACGCTGTGTTCTTTATTGCAAATAAGGCATAAGCCAAGAATACAGATGTTTATTTGTATAGAGTGGTTAACATTTGGGTTCGATTTTACTATATCACAAAAAGTATACCACAAAATATTTAACTGACAGATTTTTTGTTGTTGTTTTTCTTTCTCTTATGTATACTTAAAAACTAATGTAGTATATACTTTTTTGTGTATATACATACGTATCTATGTATATATGTGGAACAATTGGTGATAAGCAAAAAATGTTGAACGCCAGTTTAAGCCACGGGAAATCTGTGCCTATGGCTTAAATTTAAATAACTATTTGCAAGAAAGATTAAAACGAAGTTGAGTTGTACTTAGAAAAATTAGCTTTATTACACTTCAAATGACAAACCAATAGTGATTGACTTAGCCTAATTTTTCGTGTCGTCACCCACGCTTCGAGCTCCTATCTCTTAGTATAAGAGACGAAATGTGAGAACGCCTGGATGATTACTGTTAAGTATGTATGTACGTGAAGTTTATATGTTACTTGCACATGTGTATATACACAAATTAAGAGTTATTCATTCATCATTTGATCACTTAAGTACGTTTTAGTGTTAAATACAGAGTTGGTTGGGCTACGTTTTAAAGACTGCCTCTTATTCATTAACCGTGCAGCTTGAATGCCACAGGCGTGAGATTATTAAGTTACTAGATTCACGGCTTTCAGTTTTACTGCCAAACTAATCGAGTAGTTTTGGCTAATCTGGATTTTAGGATACATACAAACGGGTATTTATACAAATATATATACATTTAATATATATTTATAAAGGCTTTGGGGTCATTAGTGCATAAACTTGAACTGAAATGACTATTTATGTACAATAATAAGTACATACATATGTATGTATATAAGTACAAAGTATGTAGCTTACTAGTTGAGGGATTGCTATGAGTAGCTGTCAAAAAGTGTATGAAGCAGCTACAATATTTTAAAGTACAAACATTAAATACTATAGTGAATTAATGAAAAGAAATCTGTGTACATACTACACATATTTATCTATATACTATATGTATATACATACGTGTAGTGTAGTGTATGTATGTGAAAATTTTGAAATCGTGCTAAGTCCGTTCCATGACACACTACGATAGTATTCTTATATACATGTCTTTATTTAACAACTTTCCGGGAATGGTTTGCACAGCGTAAACGTTCATTGCGGTTAGACTTTGGCAAACCTTGCACTTCGGGTTGGATTTTCATGTGATGATTATTTGCAATGGGCAATTCAATTGCATATCAACCGGTTGATTACGAATTATTTATAATGAAGGCAGATAAGCAAAATAATTATTTTATACCTAACAACAAAATTTGCTGGCGCCAGATCTTAACCTTATAAGTGGTACTAAAAAGAAAACAGACATTAAATTATTACTTACGTAGGTTCCTACTTATTAATATGCACTTAAATGCATATTTGCAAGCACTTACACAATACAAATAGTTATTAATAAAAATATTTTCATGATTTGGCTGTTTCTGAAGTTGTATGACACCGTATCATTCATAAAATTATTAACACATAAGTAAATATATAAATTTCACGTGGAATTCCTTGAAGATTACATGCTGCGCCTTATCAACAACAAGCGCCTGGGTGTGTGTGTGTATGTAAGAATTCAAAAATTAAATTTGTTCAGTGATTTTCTAATTTGCTGACTGTAGTTTGTGCATATTAAAATATACTATTTAAAAACTATAAATTAAAACAATTTTTTGTATGTATGTATATACATATGTAATGGTAACGATGAATAATGCTACTGCATGTACATATGTATATACATACATACATATGAAGTATGTGTTTATATGGAATTTTTAAATTAAATAATATTATATAATTCTGTCATAAGCTTTTAAATTTAAATGCATTTAAAATTAAATGCAAACAATCCTTGCCAAATAAAAAGTTTCCGTAAAATAGTTGGGTATTAATCGGTTAGTTTGTGTGGCAAATATGTATATGCCATAGTGGTACAACGAAATCAATTTGTTTGGAGATTGTGCTGTTACCTCAGACAATAATCCATGCTATATTTCGTAAATATGTATAACTCTTTAAATAAAAAAAAATCCATTGGACTTGAATTTGATCGATTAGATTGTATGGCAGCTACTATATGCTGTAGTAGTTCTATAACGGCGGTTCCACCAAATCAATAGCTTTTTGGGAAGAAAAACATGTGTGCTAAATTTCAGATCGATATCTCGAAAGTAGAGGGACTCCTTCCCGTATATATGTAAATATATCGACGGACATGCTAAATCTCCCTCAGCTTGTCACGATCATCAGTTATATATACATACATACATATGTATAAATTACTAAATATATACATATGTATGGATGTACAATGGTGGTCTTATAATTAGAAACGACTTTGCTGCATATAGTATTCTTAATTTATTTTAATAATTTAGATTGCCACGTTAAAACTATAAATTGGAGTCAACAAAGTAACAGTGTGGTCATATAATTAGAAATGACAGTAACTACATAAAAATATTCATATAAAATTGAAAAAATTTCTTTTTAGTATTTTGTTGAATACCCCTTATTTTTAACAACATTGTCAAGCCTTCTCGGTAAACTTTGGATTAATTGTTGGCATGTTGGCACTGATATGCTATTATAACTTTGTTGAACCATTTCATACAATTCGTAATTATTTCGCGGTTTTTTGTCCTTAAGATCTCGTTTCACAATTGCCCATAAATTTTCAATTGGGTTGAGATCCGTACTTGGCGGAGGCCAATCCAAAACATCAATATTTTTATCCGAAAGCCAGCTTTTCACTAACGTTGAATTGTGTTTTGGGTCATTATCGTGCTGGAAAATGGAATGGATTGGCATATTCTCAAAGGAATATGGTTCTATTACATTCTCCAGAATGTTTTTATATTGATGTTGGGTCATTATCCTTTGAACATGCACAATTAGGCCAACATCACAAGAGGAAAAGGCTCCCCAAACCATAAAATATCCACCACCATGGTTTACTGTTTTCACAGTGTACTTAGGGTTCAAGGCCATGTTGGGAGAACGTCGTATATACGATTTTCCGTCGGACTGGAATAAATTGAACTTATATTCGTCATTCCAGAGAACTCTATTCCAGTATTGTGGATTATTTACATTTTCTTTTTTTTTGATACAAGGGGGTGTTTTTCCGCAATGTACTCACGAGGTCCCGACTCCTGTAAACGTCTTCTTATAGTCCAAGCTTTATTTCACGCGAAGAGTTGTTTTTGCTCGCCCTACAAATTATTCTGTCTTCTGCTGGAGTAGTTTTTCTAGGTCTGGTCCGTCTGGTAGGGGTTTCAAATTTCTTTGTTTTTTTATACAAATGAATAGCTCCCAATACCATGTTTTTGGAGCAAGCAAACCTTTATGCGATAGTTGACATTGACGTTTCTTTTGATAACACCTTACAATTGACTCTTTAATTTTGGGAGTACATGGTTTTTTTGCCCATTATAATAATTAAAATGTTTTTAATTGAACGTTGTTTAATTGAAGTATACTCACTTTATCATTAAGTTCAAAAGATCCGAGAATCAAAAGAAGAACTGCCCGCTTCTAATTACATGACCAGTCAAGAAACACAAACCGGTAAATAATTTGAATTTCTTCAATAACCAATCAGCAAATAGTCACGTGTTTATTCAACAATAACCTTCATAGTCTACACTACGAATAACGGAACTTATAAGTGCGTGAGTGTCTTAAAAAAAGAATACAGTGATTTGATTTTGTCTAGCATAATCCGTTTCTAATTATAAGGCCACCACTGCATATATGTAAGCTTTAAAACTATATATATTTAAAAGTAATAATTTTTATATAACATATCCGCCAAAAACTGCTGGCATCCTCGACAATTACAACCAACTATTTGTCGTAATCTAATCAACTACTATGTATGTACATGCATAAATGTAAGTAAATATGAATTACCATAACCAAAAAAGAATAAAAATAATGAATATGGCGGAGTTTGTTCTCTCTTACGCACTGATACGACTTTCGAAATATATGATTATATATCATTTCTGCTAACTGGCAGCATTTACTTTTGGTTGCCATACTGACAAATCTTTCTCGCATATTATTATGTAGGTTAATTGCTTCTGATTACTAACACAAAAAAAATAATAACAATATAAAAATTTATATACATATATTTGACAATCATGCGAACAATCAACAGGAGCTACTTCGGCGGAGAGAAGCTTCGGAACATGGCAAATGTCCAAAAAGTGGAAAAACTATCGAAATAAGTGTATGTGTTGCCTAAGAAATAGAGAAGACTACAAAATATTCCACGTGAACAACACTTAGCACTGCCGTTAAGTGTGTGCTGATAAGCTAAAAGAATATACAATATAGTGATATATGCATGATACTTGCTATATAACGCTCGACTATGCATATATACTTATGTACGTACATGTATTTGTGTGTTTACGTGCTTCGTGCATGACAGGTGGTATGACCGTGTTGACCGGTTGGAATACACACGTGCATACGTGCAACTCGGTTTTCTACCAGAAAATGCGACTGCACATGGGCCGTCAACACAGTACGATTGCAGCAAAATGTGTAACATCTGCTGTTTTGCTCTGCGAGCATTGCCACGAAATATCGGATATAAACAAAGTACAAACGTAAACAATAATAAGCGATTCGAGACTGTATTTTTTGTTCTTGTTACCTTCATGAAAAACCACTACCAACAAACAAAAGGCGCTGCTGCAACCACGTCTGCTGCACTCTGTTAAGCGAGAAATGCTAAGAGTCAAAGTGCCAAAGAAAACGACAGATGCAAGTTGTAGACGCTGAGCGACTCGAAGGGGCGCACATGTTGCTGCATAAGCGACGGCCTACAAT